CCAAGGAAGGTTCTGTATGCAAAGAAAAGAGTTGAAACTTGGTAGATTCTTGAATTCAATTCTGAGTTGCAAGCTTCAAACTCCAATTGCCAACTCACGATTCTTCCACAGTTTTGCCTTGAATTTGATCTGGAATCAATCTCTAACCCTAGAGCAAGCTATTGGGATCAAGAACTTGGATTGAAATGGCTTCAATTGATGTAACTGATTTTGATTTGCAATGTGCAAATTCAAAATGCAATCTCTCTATTTCCTCTCAATTCTCACCAACCAGTGCTCTGAATCACTTCATATGCTTATATAGACCATGACTGAACACTCTAGAAAGTTCTGGATCAATCTAATGAGAATTTCAATATCTCATGTCATGAAAATTCAATCTCATGCCATCCTCATACCAGTTCTGCTAACAGCTTGCATTTGCCCTTCAACCTCATCCAAACTCTCCTCAAATGAGATTATGAAGGTGTTTGGGTGGATTGGAACCATGTATTTGATCTTATGTGTAGTTTGGCATATGTAACTTAAGTCTTAAGTAACTAAATGCAGCTCCATGATTTTGACCTCAAATGAGAAAAGTGCTATTGCCATTGTCTTTGGAATGTCATTTCTAATCAAAATGACATATTACATGTCTTATTTTGGCCTTGGAATGAAAAATCACAAATTTGGTCCTTTTAATGAACTTTAATTCTTCCTTTTTAGGCCAATTTTGCAATTTTGAGTTACAAGCAATTCCAACCTCTCATGACCACTTGGTTAGCCTCAAAACATCATTTTGAACAAGTTTGATGTTGAACATTTTCCCATTTGAAGCTTGCAAATAGGAGTTATGGACTTATGATTGAAATGACCTGTAATCTCCAAATGTCCAAAATACCCTTGACTTGTCAAAGCCATAACTTGAGTTCTACAAATCCTATCAAGGACTTATAGCACTCAAATTAAAGCTAAGACCATGCTCTACAACAATCATGTTGGGGGCAAGATGAGATGACAATCACATCTTGAGCTAAATTGCCTTGAAGATAGGGGTCAAACTAGGGGATTTTACACTGTCAAGCCTTAGAAACCCTAACTTGAAACTTCTCAAACTCTTCAATCATGATGAGTTGACCTTGGAATCATCCTTAGAACATCTCAATGTATCAATCCATGATCACATGGCCCTTGAATTATGTCTCAACCTTCTTCAAATCATCAGTTGACTTAGGGTTGACCTAGTCAAACCCTAGCTGCACCAATCATGGCTGAGGCTTCTTAATCTTGCACAATGACCTGTCTAGGCCTCAAAGTGATCTTCAACTCTTCTCATGAGCTCTCTCAAGACCTCAAGTCCAACTTCATGGCTTCATAATCATCTGAGGGCTTTCCACAACTCTCAAGTTAGGAGACACACCCTCTTGGTTTCAACCATTCTCTCTGAGGATCTTTTAACTTCTCTGACAAGGATATCAACCCTTGAACACTTGAATAACCTTCTTAGCTAGCTTCAAAGTCTTGTGTAGCTCTTGATTAGTAATCATACCTCTTGATCTCTTGCCCACATGTCAATGAAATGCAAATGATAATGCTAATGTGAATGAAATGAAACACAAGCTAGGTAAAGAAAAGTTGAGCAAATTTTGGGGTGCAACAACGAGCCTTAAGCTATTTGAGAAGGGGTTGCTGGAGAGCTTTTTTCCAGTAGTCTGGCTACTTAGTGTGGTACCCTTTGGGTGACACGCGACGTAGTCACTCTCAAATCATAGTCTCTAGTGCGTCAGAGATTGCAAACAAACTAAAAAACACTTCTTTCGTAAAAGATTCAAAACAAACATCAAAGTGTCATTTTTGTCGGCTTGGACTCTTAATCAAGAAAAACCCTTTTTGAAGGTAATAAAAAACCAGTCAGACAAGCTTGTGTCTTCCGTAGCCCGAACTACATTTGCTCTGATCTTTCATGCTGTATGAAAATATGTAGGCATAGGATGCCGTATCCTAGCGAGCAACCTTCCCCCCTTAACCCGTAGTTAGGCGAACTACGTTGACTCTGATTTCTCGTTCCAGACGGGAATACGTAGGCATAAAGTGCGATACTTTGCCGAGTCACTTTCTTTTCTTTTTAACCCAGACCTATAGAGTAGGTAGAATGACAATCCGTACTAGAAAACAAGCGTGGATCCCGTCGAGTACGGCGGACGTGAGGGGTGCTAATACCTTCCCCTTGCGTAATCGACTCCCGAATCCAGGATTTGGTTGCGATGACCATTCCTTTCCCGTTTTGCGTTAGGTTTACTCTGAGCGTTTCCTTTCCCTCTTGTGGGATAAATAACGCACGGTGGCGACTCTTCTGTCATAGCCGGCGCCGATTTTCGCAGTAGCGACAACGTCGGGAACGTGTCCCAAGGTGGCGGGGCAGTTTCTTGCGTGCTCTTTTCTGTTTCCTTTTTCTCTTTCTTCCCTTTTCATCTTCCCAGACATTCATTGGCTGAAAAGATATTGGTTGACACGTGTAAGGTAAAGTAAACGGCGTCGAAGAATGTGAGACATTTAAGGAGGAGGAGTCGAAACACGTACCAGACTTAAAGAAAATCACGAGGGCTTCGACCGCGACGTTGTTTGGTAGTTATCCTGAAGATTTGAAATTCAAATAAATTGGAGGGAATGGTTCCGTTCACCAGATGACTAAGAGGACATATGGCGCCCTATGGGCGACAGATCCATGCATCACGACAAGTGGCAAAAGATGGTGATGTAGGAAGCTATTGGTAGTTATTTCTTGCTATTATAAATAGGAAGTCTTAGACATAGAATGTGTGGGGAATTTACTGTTGTACAAGTCACTCTTAAAATTACTCCAAGTATCCGAGTGTAGAGAAAGAGAGTTTCGAAGAGAATGTACGTGATGTAAACACACCACCTTTTATTTTCCAATGAAGTTTATTTTACTTGTTTAAATTTTACAAAGTTTTCTTTATCTTTCTTGCAATCTTCTCCCCCTTCTATGCTTTCTTTACTTCGTCCTCATTCTCAACTCCTTTCTTTTAAAACATGTATCTTTTCTTTGCTAGAACTTTATGTACTTTTTCTCCTATAGTCGAATAAGTAACCTTTAGAACCTTCTCCCAAATATTGTCGAAAGTGTGAAACTTAGATAAATATCCAAAGAAAACCTTTTAGCACATGTCCTAGGATCAATCTGATCGATCCTGTGAGTCACCAAAGTTAGATTTAGAAGATCAGCGGTTGTTTTCCGATTTTCAAGGGAAACGGGTCGCCATGATTTCCCGTGATAGGGGGTTCTATAGTCGTCCTCGTCGCTGCAGATGGGGGACTAAGGCGGTGATGGCCCGTGTCGAGGAGGTTGATTACGCACTCTCAGTCTTTTGGCCGGGGCCTCGGGCCTGTTCGCCCTCGGATCCAGGGAACGCCTCTCCTTCCGGGGCGGTGACCTTGCTCGCTTCTTGGAGACCACTGGTTGGGGCCTCTCCAGCTGTGGTCGGCGCCCCTGTGGTTGGGGAGATGGGCTCCGAGAGTTCCCGCACTGATCTCCCCGCGGAGGGGAGCGGGATGAGGTGTCGTATTCCAGCGCGCCGTTGCGCTCATTTTGCCAAAACAACATCTGGTTCGTCTGATTGATGGCTGCGAAGAGGGCAACCATCGTCAGGTCTGCCCCCGCCGGCGTGGGGATGGGCTGGAAGACTGTCGGGCTTCTCGCCCGAGGCACGACGTGATGTGCCGCGTCCTCGGATGAGGGGGAGGCAGTCTGGTCGTTCCTGTGGTCGGTCTCATGGGGTTAAGACGTCCTCGGCGGGTTGTCGCCGTTGGTGACCGGGGTGAAGACGGAGCCGAGAACAGCGTCATCGTGGCGTGGACTAGTCATGCTCTTGAAATTTGAAAGGTGGAATCTTTGGTTCTCTGCTCGGAGGAACGGGGAAGCTTATGTTTCCCACAGACGGCGCCACTGGTCGTACCTAACCAGAAGGGAATCAATGACCTGCCACGCGTCGCTGATCTACTAGCTGCTCACCGAAGGTATGGAAGAAGAGGGGGTGTACCTGAAACACACTCTGATGCCAAAGTAAGTGACGGGCATAGTGGGAGCAAGTACAGAGAGAGAGAGTAAGAGAGTTAAGTTGTCTGACCCTCTAGTGAAGAGGGTATTTATAGTGAGCCCCCAGCGCAAGGCCAACGGTTACCTAACACTGGGTTGCGCTGTCAGGCCCAATGTTAGTAACTGCTAGGGCTGACGTGGCGTCGTGAAGACCAGCACGTGGTATTCGTCCTAGGGTAACTGTTTCGCGCTATCCGGGAGGAGGAAGACTGAATCTCCAGGACATGGGTAGTTACTTTATGACGTGTCCCTGTGTGAGGGGCACGTGGAGAACGTGGGGGGAGGCTCGAGGAGCTCCTAGGGCCTTCTGGATTCTGTCAAACGACGGAGAGGAAGAGGCCGGCTGGTCGGCTACGAGGGTCCTGCCTGACAGTTGTTGGCCCATGCCCGATGGGGGAAAGGTTGTGCTCGGCCGAACTTCTTCCCGTCAGCATGGTACTCTTGGGCCTAACCTCATTGGGGTTTAGGCATGCTTGGTTGTAGGCTAAGCGTCGGCCCAGTCCAGAACAAGACTCTTTCGATAAATGAGTGATTTGCCCATAACATATGCGCACTAAAAAAACATGTGCACATTTTAAGACTACTTGAGGATATCTAAAAACATTATTTTTAATCCTAAGTATGATAAAAACTTCATACAAAATATACACACGTTTATTTTTCTATATTGTGCGCGGACAGACAGACACTCGTGTCCGTTTGAACGCTAGTTTTTAATAATATAAATACTACCTTTGACTAATATAAAAACACACCAAAAATTTACTTTGTATATTTTATATTAGTTCATAAATATTAAAAAATATTTAAAATAGATTTTTCTTAACAATTTTTTTTTTCATATCTTGTTCAAATAAATAAGAGGAAACTCCTCTAATAATCCCAAAGACCAAAAAAGCAAGCAATGGATTCTCTCAAAAATTTCAAAGGCAAAGGCTACGACAAAGTGGAAACCAACCTCGAAGATCAACAAAATCCGCCACAGCACCGCCACAAAATCTCCAAACCCTTCGTCGCCACAATTTCCATCATCATCACCACCACCCTCTTCATCACCCTCACTTTATGTTTCACCCTTTTCTTCCACCACACCGAGTCACATACCCCTCTCAACTCAACCGACTCAATCAGATCCATTTGCAACGTGACTCGCTTCCCTGACTCATGCTTCATCGCTTTATCTCCCTACTCACAAAACCTCACCAACCCAACCTCCATCCTCAAACTCTCCATCTTCGCCTCCATCGACGAACTCACCAAACTCAAACTCGCTTCATCGCTAAAAGCCAATTCCAACGAACGCGCGTTCGATGATTGCAAGGATCTAATAGACGACGCGGTGAGTCGACTCAACGAATCGGTTTCGGCGGTTCCTGACGGTGCCGTAACGTTGACGGATGTTAAAATTAAAGATATTCAGACGTGGGTTAGTGCCGCATTGACGGAACAACAAACGTGTGTTGATGAATTGGAAGAAGTTGGGCTTTCTTTGGAGACCGTTGAAAAGGTAAAGAAAATGATGCAGAAATCAAATGAGTATACAAGCAATAGTTTGGCTATTGTGGCTCATATAAACAATTTGCTACCTATTCATTAAAAAAAATTCATATTCTTTTTATTTATTTATATGGTAAAAATAATAATCGTGAAATTTGTATGCGTTTGTGTTTGAATTTGTAGATTGTAACTATATGTTTTTTTTTTCTTTCAAAAAATAATTGTGTATACATTTGTATTGACGGAGGAATGGATTGATTCCATGCTTGTTTAAAATCTTTCCATTTTTTATTTATGGGTTCTTGATGATTGGAAATTGGAAGATCTTTAACCGGTCAAAATTCACCAATGGGGGTTTTCTAACCGACTATTATTGTTGTTTGCATTGAGAAGTTTTTTATGTGGGTAATTCCTTTCTATTCCAATATTTATAATTTTTAAATTAGATTTTAATTTTATTCTCTTATTTTTAAAGTTTCTTCGATTAGTCTATGAAAAACTAGAGTTCCAATAGAAGGAATTTTGTTTTAGATAATCTCTACCAATAAGGAAAGGTTTGGTCATTGTAATTCTAAGCTATGGAGTAGTGTCTAATTAGTTAGAACTAATATCACACAACCTAACATGATGACAAAGGCCACCACAATTTGCTTATTGGGACACTATTGTTGGATTTTATTGTTGGATTTTAATTTATAACTGTTATGTGTATCAATTAGTTAGTAGTTTGTTAAAAATTGATTATTAGTTAGTTACGTTGTGTATAGATAGATGACTTAATTAGCAAGCTATTGTGTAACACATAAGTAACATTTTGTAGTGTAAAAATACAATCAATGAGAATCATCTCTATTCTTCTTCTTCTCCTCCAAGATGTCTTCTAAGATGTCAAAACATTAAAGTGTGTGTGTGTGCGCTATTACTTTCATCTTGCAATTACAATCTTGTTACGCATTAACTGTGTGTTCATCACAGTGCTTGTGTTCTAACAATTGACATTTAGAGTCTAGTTCAATCTAAGGGAAACACGAGTGAAAAGTGAGGGGTTCAATCCAAGGGAAACGTTGAGTGATAGTTTCTTGATAGGCAAGTTGAATAGCAATAGTTTTGGATCAAATATTCTGGTTCTTGATGGCAAGAATTCGGATGATTGGAGTGCTTTGATGAAGTCTTTATTTGGAGCGCAAGAAGTGAGTGAAATTGTGCAAAATGACTATCAGGATCTGGTGGCGAATCCAACTGATGCACAGAGAATTACATTCAAGGAAGCCAAGAAGAAAGACTGCAAAGTTTTGTTCTACATTCAATAGAATGTTGACAATCAACACTTTGAGAAGATTTCTAAAGCGACAAGATCCAAAGAAGCATGAGACATTTTAGAAAATTATCACACTGGTGGAGAAAAGGTAAAGCAAGTGAAACTACAATCCCATAGAAGAAAGTATGAGATGATGCAGATGGAAGAAGATCAGAAAGTAAGTGATTACTTTTCAAAATTAACACCCACTGTTAATTAGATGCAAACTTGTGGTGAGAGCATTACATACCAAATGGTAGTAGAAAAGGTGTTGAGATCTTTGAGTCCAAAGTTTGATTTCATAGTTGTAGCTATCCAAGAAGCAAAGGATGTGAAAACTATGAAAATTGAAGAGTTGCAAAATACATTGGAAACACATGAGCTCCTGGTGTTTGATAGAAGTTCTGAGAGATCGGTTCAACAAACATTTCAAGTTCAAACTTCCAAGAAGGAGGGAAATCATAAGAATTTCAAGAAGAAGGGAAAAATCAAAGCAAATTGGTCCAACAATGAAAAGAACAAGAGTGAAGAAAAAGCTGAATCTTCAAAGAGATGAGGCTTTGGCAGATGTCAGAACAAGAAGAGGAAGTTTGACAAAAGTAAGGTTCAATGCTTCAACTGTGAGAAGTATGGGTATTTTTCTGATGAATGTTGGTTCAAGAAAGGTCAAAAGACTGATGAAGAAGCAAATTTGGCTCGTGGAGATTATTCTAGTACAACGTTGATGATGGCTACTACCAGTGATGAAAATGTGAAGAATGAAGAGTGGTTTCTTGACTCTGTGTGCTCAAATCACATGACATCACATATAGAATGGTTGACAAGTTTTGATGCTAGCAAGAAAACAAGCATCAAACTGGATGACAGTAGAAATCTTGTGGCTGAAGGTAGTGGAAATATAGTGATCAGAAGCAATGATGGCAAGAGAATCATTATTGAAGTTGTGATGTAATTTCTTGAGATGAAGTGTAATCTCATGAGCATTGGTCAACTGGTGGAGAAAGAATTCTCAGTGACTCTGGATGGTGACTCTTTGAAGTGTTTGATGCAAAGAAGAATTTGATGCTCAAATCAAACATGTCAAAGAATAGAACATATAGATGTAACATCTCAAGTGAAAAGATGATGTGCCTGTCTGTAGAAGTGAGTGAAGATAACGAAGATCTATGGCACAAGAGGCATGGTCACCTAAACTTTAAAAGTCTTAGTAAGTTGAATTATAAAGAACTGGTGTATGGCTTGCCAAAACTGAATGTCATAAGAGCCATTTGTGAAGTATGTGTAAAGAGCAAGCAAAATATGATTTCCTTTGCTTCTGAAGCACCTAAAAGAGCTAGTGTAGCACTACAGGTGGTTCACTCTGATATATGTGGTCCTTTTGAAGTATCTTCATTAGGGGGAAGTATATACTTTATCACATTTGTTGATGAATGTACAAGAATGATATGGCTGTATACAATAAAGCTTAAGAGTGAAGCTTTAGATGTATTCAAAAGATTCAAAATATTAATAGAAAAGGAGAGTGATAAATCTATTAAGATCTTGAGAATTGATGGTGGAGGGGAATACACCTCAAAAGAATTTGAAGCTTTTTGTGTCAATCAAGGTATTGTGCATGAATAATAGCTCCATATACACCTCAGCATAATGGACTTGCTGAGAGAAGGAATAGAACTCTACTGAATATGGCAAGGAGTATGATCAAGCAGGAAAACTTACCATACAAGTTTTAGGGTGAAGCAGTCACTACAGCTGCTTACATTCTGAATAAATATCCTACAAAGAAGTTGAATTTAAAGGTACTAGAAGAAGCTTGGTGTGGAAGAAAGCGTAGTGTGAAGCATTTCAAGGTTTTTGGCTCTTTGTGCTACAAACATGTACCTGATGTTAGAAGAAGCAAGCTTGAAGATAAGAGTGAAATTATGATGCTTATAGGCTATCATCTAACAGGTGCCTATAAGCTTTATAATCCTCTAACTCAAAAGGTACATGTCGGTAGAGATGTTATTGTGAATGAGGCTAGAAGTGGAAATGGGAAGAGGAGCTAGTATACAGTAAAGAGAATCAACAATACTGCATTTATTCTAAATCAAGTGATGAATCAGATAATGAAGAAGTGATCAATAATGATGTAGATGAACCAGAAGAAGAGGAAGCATCTGTGAGACCTCAAAGAATCAGACGAGCTCCAAGAAGGTTGAATGAATGTGAAGTAATTCCTAATAATGCAGTAAATGATGAAGGTGCTATCATTCACTTTGTATTGTTGGCAGATTCTGAACCTCTCAATTATAAAGAAGCACTAAAGATAGATGTATGGAGGAAAGCTATGACGGAAGAGCTCCACTCAATTGAGAAGAATCAAACCTATGAGCTAGTTAATTTTCTAGATAAGAAAAAGAAAGTAGACGTGAAGTAGGTGTTCAAACTGAAATTAAATCCTTATGGGAAAATTTCAAAGTATAAGGCAAGGTTAGTGGCTAGAGGTTTCTTACAAAAACATGGTGTTGATTACAATGAGGTGTTTTCTCCAGTTACAAGGCTTGAAATTTTAAGGTTAGTTGTGGCTCTAGCTTGCAAGAGAAGGTGGTCACTTTATCATTTAGATGTGAAATCAACCTTTCTAAATGGTCCACTTGAGGAGGTAGTGTTTGTGTCACAACCTCCTGGTTTTGAAGTGCAAGGCAAGGAGAACATGGTGTATAGACTCCATAAGGATTTGTATGGTTTGAAGCAGGCCCTAGAGCCTGGAACAAGAGGGTTGATAAGTTTCTGATTCAAATAGGTTTCAAAAAGTGTTCAGTAGAGTTTAATGTGTATGTGCAAAGTTCAAGTAAAGAAGAAACTGGGTGTTATAAGTGTTCAATAGTTATGAATTAAGGGGGAGTGTTGAGTTTTAATTCATAACTGTCATGTGTACCAATTAGTTAGTAGTTTGTTACAAATTGGTTGTTAGTTAGCTACCTTGTGTATGGATGACTTAATTAGCAAGCTATTGTGTAACACATATAAGTAACACTTTGTAATGTGAAAATATAATCAATGATAATCATCTCTACTATTTGTCTTCTTCTCCTCCAAGATGTCTTCCAAGATGTCAAAACATTAAAGTGTGTGCGTGTGCTATTACTTTCATCTTGCAATTACAATCTTGTTGCAAATTAATTGTGTGTTCATCAGAGTGCTTGTGTTCTAACAACCATGATATTGGAGAGTTGTATAGTTTGAACACATACACTATTGTGTTTTTCATTTCTATTTTTTCTTTACATTAATGTAAATCACAAAAACCAGTTAACTCTTCGCCTTTAAATTTTAGAAACAAAACACATGGTCAATTGTGTCTTGGAGATATCTCATTATCTTTTTTAAGTGTTTGTATATGTGACAAATTAAGGCTGCTCACAACACGTACGTAACACATATCCAATCTAGACTTGCAAGCTTACCTTAAGCATCCCACCAACAACTACACTTTGACATATATCACATATATCAGATCAATTTTCTATCCATCTTCATTCTTACTTAATTTGGAGTTTTCTTCTACAGGGGCATGTTGCACCCCAAAATTTGCCTAACCCTTTTCTTGCTTGGTTGATGTTTCATTGCATTAGCATAACATTTGCATAGCATATCATTATTCATTTAGCAGGGGATCAAGTGTGGTTTATATCAAGAGGAGCCTATCTAGAGGTCTTATTCAAGCTTGAGAGGTCACCAAGGTCATCAGGAAGTGGGTGGTGTTCTTGAGAAGTTTGGATGCTGGTATGTGGTTCATCACCTAACTTGGGGAGCCAATT